TGCATTTTCCTGATGATGCTATTTGGAGTGTCTTTTCATATACTTAATTTGTATATCTTTAGTGAATGTTAAGGGTTTTACTCCATCTTTTAGTCAGGCTGTTTTCTTATTGTTGAGTTTTAAGAGTTCTTTGTATATTTAGGATAAAAGTCTTTTACCAGATGTGTCTTTTGCAGATATTTTCTCTCAGTTTGTGGTTTGTCTTCTCATTTTTTTGATCTTGTATTTTCAAAAGCAGAAATTTTAATTTTAGTGAAGTCTAGCTTATCAATTATTTCTTTCATGGATTGTGCTTTTGGTGCTATATCTAAAAAGTCATCACCAAACTCAAGGTCTTCTAGATTTTCTCCTGTGTTATCTTCTGAGATTTTTATAGTTTTGCACTATACATTTATTTAGGTCTATGATCTATATGAGTTAATTTTTGTGAAACATGTAATGACTGTCTAGACTGATTTTTTTTTGCATGTGACTGTCCAGTTGTTCCAGCACCATTTGTTGAAAAGACGAATATCTTTGCTCCATTGTATTGCCATTTATTTGTCAAATATCTGTTGAATATATTAATGTGGGTCTATTTGGGGGCTCTGTTCTGTTCTATTGATCTATTGATCTATTTTTCTATTCTTTCTGCAATACCACACTGTCTTCATTGCTGTAGTTTTATATTAATAGTAAATATTGAAGTTCAGTAGTCTCAGTCCTTGACTTTGTTCTATCCCATCCATATTATGTTGGCTATTCTGGGCCTTTTTCCTCTCCATATAAATTTTAGAATCCCTTGATCAATATCTACAAAATAGCTGTCTGGGATTTTAATTTGGATTACAATGAGTCTATAATTCAAGTTGGGAAGAACTGACAACTTGATAATATTGAGTCTTCCTATCCATGAACATGGACTATCTCTCCATCTATTTAGTTCTTCTGTGATTTTATTCATCATTGTTTTGAAGTTTTCCTCATATAGATCTTGTACATATTTAGATTTAGGCTTGCTTGCTTTATAGAGTAGTATTTGGTCTACATGTGTCAGTCAAAAGCACATTCTTTCACCGTATGGATCTCCTTACTCCTATGCAGTTTGTGCTTTGGTTCATCTTTCTATCACAGTACAATGCTGACTGCAATATCTATTTCAGAGAATAGCAGACTCCAATGACAGCAGGGTCAGGCAAGTAGCAAGTAATGGTGGGTTTGACTCTGAGTAAAGCAGGAGAAAGTTGCAGAAGGGATGCCAGGAAACTGGGGAGACCTGGTCCTGCCCCAGGGAAATTAAATTGATTAAAACACTGGGCTGGGGCTCAGCACCCATAGCACAGTGGTTGCAATGCCGGCCACATGCACCCAGGCTGGCGTATTTGAACCCAGCCTGGGCCAGTTAAACAACAATGACAACTGCAACAACAACAACAAAAACAAAAATAGCCTGGCATTGTGGTGGGTGCCTGTAGTCTCAACTACTTGGGAGGCTGAAGCTAGAGAATCACTTAAGCCCAAGAGTTGGGGGTTGCTGTGAGCTGTGACAGCACAACACTCTACTGAGGGCGACATAGCGAGACTCTGTCTCAAGGAAAAAAAAAACAACACTGGGCTGGATAGATGAAATACCCAACTGCTGGCTGTCTCTGGCCTTTGGGTCTGCTCATTTACAGACCCCGGTTGTAGCTATGTCCTCTTTTCAGACCCATTAAGACTGTGAGCTCCTAGAGGGCAGAGAAACCCTCCTACCCCTGCCACCCCAGTGTCCTGCAATAGGGCCCACACATTGACAATTTTTTGATAAATGAATAAACATTTGTATTTATTGTCACCCTTCTCATTCTTTTAAAAAGCAAAGCATGTTCAGTGTTGCAATTATAAAAAATATAGATAAGAAAAAGGAAGAAAGCTTTTGGCTTTCAGCTTGGAAGAGGCCAAGGTGCAACTTTCTTCAATCTCTCCAAATCTGGGTTCATCCAACACCAGCCACCTCCACCATGCCTCCTCAGTCCCAACAAGATCAAAGTCATGTACCTGAAGTGCACCGGTGGCAAAGTCGATGCCACATCTGCCCTGGGTTTGTCTCCAAAAAAGGTTGGTGATGACATCACCAAGGCAACCAGTGACTGGAAGGGTCTGAGGATTACATTGAAACTGACTATCCATACTTACCTGGCAGGGGAGATACCATGATCACGAAACTGACTATCCAGAACAGATAGGCCCAGATTGAAGTGGTACCTTTTGCCTCTGCCCTCATCACCAAAGCCCTCAAGGAACCGCAAAGAGAAAGAAAGAAACAAAAAAACATTAAACACAATGGAAATATCACTTTCAATGAGATTGTCAACACTGCCAGATAGGTACGGTACCAATCTTTAGCCAGAGAACTCTCTGGAACCATTAAAGAGATCCTGGGGACGGCCCAGTCCATGGGCTGCAATGTTGATGGCTGCCACCCTCATGACATCATGGATGACATCAACAGTGGTGCCATGGAATGCCCAGCTAGTTAAAAAGTACAAAGGAAAATGTTTCAATAAAGGATCATTTGACACCCGGTTTAAAAAAAAAAAAAAGAAAAAGGAAGAAAATAAAAATCATCCATTTCTGAGATAAATCTTTGTCACAGTTCCCTTAGATCTTTTGTTGACATATAACAAACATACAGAAAACAGCCCAGGCTCAGCGCCTGTGGCTCAAGCGGCTGAGGCGCCAGCCACGTACACCTGAGCTGGCGGGTTCGAATCCAGTCTGGGCCCCCCAAACAACAATGACAGCTGCAACCAAAAAATAGCTGGGCATTGTGGTGGGTGCCTGTAGTCCCAGCTACTTGGGAGGTGGAGGCAGGAGAATCACTTAAGCCCAGGAGTTAGATGTTATTGTGAGCTGTGATGCCATAACACTCTACCCAGGGCGACAGCTTGAGGCTCTGTCTCAAAAAAAAAAAAAAAGAAAGAAAAGAAAACAGACCCTATGTGTTTAGCTTGACTAATTATCACAAACTAAACATAACCCATAGAACTATCACTCAGATTAAAACATAGAGTATCTCTAGCCCACCAAGAAGCACCTTTATCCTCTCCCAGTGGCTGGCTGCCAATCACCCACACCCAGGGGTGACCCTGTGCTGACTTCTTACAACACAGATTAGTTTTGTCTATCTCATCTAGTGTGTGCTCTTTGGGGTCTGGTTTCTTTCGCCAACATTATGTTATTGAGATTCACCTGTGTTGTGTGGCATGGCAGTTCACTGTTCTTGGTGCTGTCTAGCATTTCATTGTGTGAGTATACCACAATTTATTCATCCGTTCTCCTGTTGATGGACATTTGGGTGGCTTTTGTTAGGAGCGTCTCTGAACAGTGCTGTTTAGAACATAGGTGTTCTAAACCTATGGTTTAAGGTGTTAAACCTTTTAAGTGAATTTTAATACAGAGGGAAACACCATTTTTTTGGAGTTGCAGTTTCTCAATCTTGGCACTATTGACATTTGGGGCTGGATAATTCTTTGTTGTAGGGCTGTCCTGTGCATTGTAGGATGTTTAGCAGGCTCTCTGGTCCACTCACCAGATGCTGGTAGCATCCCCCAAATTGTGATAATCAAAAATGTCTCTGGAGATTGCCCAACATCTCCAAGGGGATAGGCAGAATCGCTTTTGCTTGAGAACCACTGGTATGTACTGAGGAGTGGAATTAGTGGGTTACAGAGAGGCGTATGTTGTGTGTTGGTATAGATGTTGGCAAGTAGTTTTCCAAAGTGGTTGTATCACTTCTACCAGCTGTGTGTGACCCTCTAATCATGTTAATGCATTTATTGTTATTTTTTTATATGGGATGGAATCATGCTAGAAGTATTTCACCTCACATTAGATTGTATGGCCTAGTCTTTTATGTCTTTCATCATTTATTCTTCAATTAGACAGCAGTAAAGTGATTAAGTCTATGCTTAACTCTGGAATCTGACTTCCTGAGTTTAATGCCTGGCTCTGCCATTTTCCAGCCATGGGATTTTGGTTAAGTGGCTTCACCTGTGTCTCAGTTTCCTCATCTGTAAAATAGGGACACTAACAATGCCTGCCTCAGTTACTTGGAGGATTACCTGAGATTAATTAATATATATGAGGCATGTAGAATAGGGCCTGGCTCATGGCAAATGCCATGTTAGCTGTTACTAAACATTTTAAAGGCTATACAACATTCCCTTAGGAGAGCTACAGTTTGTGTCACAAGTCCTTTAGTGTGGAATAATAGTAAATGATTTTCAGTGTAGGTTGCCAAATTTTGCAAAAAAGAAAAATAAATAATTATAATGAGAGATATGCAGTTACATTTGAATTTGAGATAAGTAATGAATAATTTTTAGTTTTATGTATATCCCATGCAATATTTGTAATATACTTCTACTAAAAGATCATAATATTGTTTATCTAAAATGAAATTTATCTGTATGTTCTATATTTTATCTACAATCTTTTTAATTCTAATTCTTCTGTCTTCTGAACACTAATGATTAACATCTTAGAAGCTGAATCTTTGTCTAGAAAGTGTTTTTCTCAGGCTTAGCTTTGAATTTGAATCACCTGGGGGCTTGTTAGCCTGGCCCCACACCAGGTCTCTTGAAACAGATCTGGAGGCTGAGTTGAGACTCTGAATTGTTAAATAAGGCTCTTGGTGATTCAGAGCCAAAACTTTAGGGTAAACTCCCCAGGTGAGTAAAATGCCAGGGGCCACCTGCCTATTTCCAGATGTAGTAAGTGAGAGACTGGGTCGGGAAAATGTTCCCACTGCTCCCCTGCCCAGTCAGCTGGGGTCTTTCTCAGGACCCCGCTGCCTGAGGCCTGGACAGGGGAGGGGGCCACCTTGGGCTGCCCCTCAGCTCAGCCTGCCTGGCTTGACAGGAAGCAGCAGCTGAACTTTGGTAGCAGGAGGGAAAGTGGGTGTTGCGGGCACCAGAACCAGCTGCATTGATTTCTGGCTGCAGTTCTTGGAACGGCTGTCATGAGGAAAACAGGCAGCGGGTAAACAGCAGACGGCGGGCCCAGCAGTGGAGAGGGCCTGCCTAGGCTTGGGAATCTGTCTTACCTCAAGGTGCTGGGCAGGTCTGGCCACCACTATAGGGGACACCATGGCTCTTGGACCAAGACCTCCTGAGACCCCATTGCCTGGCCAGGTAAGGTTATTCCAAGGGTGGGACTTGGGCTCCCAGAACTTTCCCCCCTCACTCTCCCTGTTCATTCATTCAGTCCTCCTGAATGAAGGGCCCAGCTTGAGGGTAGCAGCTAATGGAGGGGTCATCCACTGCCAGCCCCACCCTGAGTCCCATTTGCAGGAGCAGCCCTGTCCCCAGCTTTGTGGGGCTGATCTGATTTCTGTCTCATCCTAGCTGCTGCGGGCACCCCTGGAGCTGCCAGGAGCAGTCAGCTGGTCTGCGCAGAGCAGCGGCGAAATTACAGCTCAGACACGATCAATGTGATCAGGTCGAGGGGCCTTTGGAGGATGATTTTACTTTGAGGAGAGGTCAGAAGGGCTTCAGATTTATGCATACGTTATTATTTAAGAGAGAATTCCTGGTGGTCTGTAAGAGTTTGGTGGATGGAGAGTTGGCCTGCTCTGGTCTTCCGGATGTTCATGGGCTGGAGCCAAAGTGTCAGAGCAGCTTAGGATGGGGTAAGCTGGGTGCCTTCCCAGCAGTGCGGGGGAGGAGCGTCCTCAGGGGTGTGGGGGCAGTGTTTGAGTGTGGAGAAGGAGCTGGTCACCTTCTGTGCACTTTTGGTGTTGGCAGTTCGTGCTGGCTGCTGACATTTTCTAGAACTTATTAAGCAAGTATATTTATTTGTAGGGCTTTGTTTCTTTATTTGAGCAACTTATTAGACTCCTGGCATTTTTCTCAATTAAGGGAATAGGATCTTGATCAAGCCAGATGGAGTTTATAGGTGTCATTATTTGCCTGACTGAGGAGGAACCCAGGGCTGAGAGTAGCTGAGTGACTTGCCTGGGTTACTCAGTAAGAGGCTCCTGCCAGGTTCAACTCTTTCTCATAACTGAACAAAATAATCTCCATCTGATCAAGAGAGCAGCTGAGTCTGAGTAACAGGGATGATGATGATGATAGCCAGATTCCTCGGTGCCAGCCACTGTGCTAAGTGAGTCTCACGAAGTTATTATCATCCCATTTTTAAGTTGAGACAGATGATGCTTAGGGAAGTGATTTCATTTTCCCAAAGTCACACAGCTAATAAGTGGCATTGCTGAGATCTGAACCCAAGACTTAGGCTTTCAAGCTCAACCACATGTCATATAGGTACTTTCTGGGTTCCCACTAAAGTCTTGTGCATGGGGGAAGCAAGTTAGAATCATTTCTATAAAGGTGCTTGGGCTGGGAGGGTGCAGCTGAAGAAGATGTTAATCTGCTGCTGACTTTATCAAGAACTCCTTTAAGGAGACAGCTGGCATAATGATAGCAAAAATAGTAATGGTAACAACAGATGCTGATTGCTGAACAGTTAAATAATTCCTATGTGCTTCCCACCATAGCTAGAGAACTTTAAAGTACATAGCTGCATTATTAGTTCCATTTGACAGATGAGGAAACTGAGGCTGAGAGTCACCTGCTAACGCTTACACAACCAGGAAGTGGCAGAGTTGGAATTTGAACTCAATTTGCCTACATAGCTCACAGAGCCTTGCCCGTTTTCCCAGCAAGTGCTCCAAGGAGCCCATGGTGGCATCTATACTCTCTTGGGTCACCTAGGAAGCTCAGGCTGGGGACATGATTCACCCTCATCTCCCTCATCACACAGCAGTCTGTCTTCCTCCCAGGTTCCATTCTCTTTTCAGCTCTGAAACTTAACACTTTTCCCTCCTAAATCCTTTCTAATCAGGTCAGCTGTGGAATACAGGCCCCAAAATAATAATGTCAAGTGCAGCCTTTGCTATGTCTGGATTTTCTGCTTGCTTAGCAGGATAGAAACTTTGGAGTGAATACAAGTGCGTTCTTTAAAAAAAAAAAAAAACTATTTACTCTGCTCTTGTTTTTATAAGATATGACTCTTAATGAGGCTTTAATTCAAGGTCAAGGAGTAGAAGTCAACGACAAAGCTCATGGTCCCCTGGGCTCCACTGGACACATAAACAGCCATGGATGGGTCTTTTCATCTTCTCTTTTAAACAGTCCCATTGCAACAGAGCTACTCCTTGAACGCAGAGGTAAAATATTTGAACTGACTGTATTGTCTGTTCCGAACTGTTTGCAAAATGTGAGCTGTGCCCATACTCCTGTTTTTATTTATTTTTTCCTTTTCTGTAGTTCAAGGGAAATAATTTATTAACTTGGGAATTAGAAATATCATTCCCCAACTCCACCACCCCTCAAGGCCCGAGCCAGCCTGCCTTCCCGGCTCAGAAAGTTAAGTGAGGCCTTTCTGTCAAAGGCACAGCCACAGCAAGGTCCAGGCGGACGTGGGTAATGTATTCACAGTCATGACTTGCAGACCCCGAGTGTCTTGAACCCAAGCCTCTTGGGACTGGCAGGGCCACGCCATCGACCTGAACCCCCTGGACTGCTGCCCCCCTGGACTGACGGTCTAAATACATCAGGCTCACTAGCCCCAGTCGTGGACCACTGAATAATTTACAGTCCCTCACAGCAGTGAGGAGCAGGTCACTGAAGTTCATGGGTTAATAACAGGTTTGGTTTTCGATGTCAGCAGCTCTCTTGATAACGTATGAAAGAATCCTATTCTGTTGATTAGATTTTGAAATGGATCAATTTTTAATCAGCCAAACACCTGACTCACTCAATAAGAGTTGCATTGTGGAGACAGGATGGAGGCCAGCTTTATTTACAAGAGTGTTTGTTTTTTGGGGGCCATACGCAAATTCCCACCCAGATCCCTCCTCCTGGAAGAAATTGACCGGATTATCTCTCACCTCAAATGGCAGCATTTGATTCACTTTCTGATTAGTTGGGAAATCCATGGGTCTGTTTAAGAGATAAGAACAGCAGCTAAAGGTTTGATTTAGTCATCCGTGATTATTGATGGAAAAAACATTTATTTGCCAATGAAGAAATTTTGCTTAATGTAATAACAAGAGAGAAGGGAGGAAACAAAGGGAGTCCAGGCAGTACTGGGGCTGGAGGTAGCAAAGACATTTTAGCTCTGGGAAGGATTAGGGTTTCCATCTCTGTTCTCTGAGATTTTCACAGCAATAGTATGGAAATCGGGAATGAGTAAATTGAGTTTGTGGAAGAGTAATTTGGAGGAGGGGTCTTGCTTCTTCCCATTTCATTTACTCATTCATTCAACAAACAGTTGATCCCACCCTGTGTGAGAGGGATGAAGCTGACATTGAGAGAGACAAGGTTCCCACCTTCATAGAGCTTCTATTCTGGTGAGGGATGCCAAGCAGGAAAGAATGGACCAAGTTGTCTAGTCATAAGGCCATGTGTTGTGGAGAAGCAGAGAGGAAGCCCTGGGAGAAAGTAACAAGGGTACCTCATTAGATTGGGGAAGGAGTTTGGGTGTTTTCTGAGGTGTATTGGGGAACTACAGGCAGGGTTTGAGCAGAGAGGTGACTTGTTTGAGTGCTGTGCTGGAAAAGGTCACTCTGGAGAGTAGGCTGGAGGCCTGGGAGTACTGAGGGGTCTGCATCTGGAGAACTGTGATGGGAGTTCCAACCAGGGGACAGCATGGTGGGCAAGAGGATGCGGATTCAGCAGTTTTGGTCAGTGGGCAGGTGGTTGAGGAAGAGGAGGTATTGCTTGAGGCCAGCTGGGGCCCAAGCCTGGCCTGGTGAGGCCTGTAGCCCACAGCCCACAGTGGCCTGGTCTCATAGGAGGCAAGGGACAGGACAAAATATTTGGCTTTTCCTCATCCTGGCTGAGTGGGGAACAAGTGGCACAGAGGCTGGGGATATTGGCTGTGAAATCAGATAGATGTGGGAGCTTCCAATCTCTCTGCCTTTTGTAAGCTGGGAACTTCAGATAAATTCTTCTTTGCATGTACAGCAAGTTAATTTTGGGTATACGTTTTTCTAGAAGGACTCATAAGAAGCTGCCAACAGTGTTTGCCCCTGGCAAGGAGATCTTGGGGTAGGTAAGGATTGACTTTTTCCTCTGTGGCCTCTGGTAGCCTCTGACTTTGTGCCAGACAGGTGTGTTATCTAGTTTGAGACTGTCTACACCATCTGTGATATGCACCAGTGTAGACCTACAGTGGCCTTCTGCATAAGGACCGATGTTGCCATCCTTGTTTTACAGATGAGGCTCAGAGAGGGGCAGTGGCTTGTCTACATCACACAGCTATACCTTGGGGGCTCCAGCTCCTTCTCGTGTGTAAGCCCATCTCTTTTCCTATCTTCCTTGTGCTATTGGTTGGGGTCATGGTCTTGGTGGGACTTGGAGGAGCAGGATTTTCCCCAGTGCTCTGTGCCAAAGATCATCAATTGGGCAGCTTGCTTTATTTACTTAATCCTTGCACATCCCCCAGGGATGCTGTTCTCTTACCTGCTTTGTCCGGGCAGAATCCCCTGCACACACACCTGTGTGTGTGTCTTGTGTGAGCATCCTCAGCCCACAAAGACTGTTCTGATCATGACTTTGGGACTAGATGGTATGAAGCCTCATTCACAACCTCCTTGGTGACAAGCAAGCTCTCTTAGGTCTCTTAATCTGGGCGTGGCACACAATTGTTCAGTGAGGAAAAGTCCTCTGATCTAGTGTCAGAAGTCCTGGGTTCTAGTTCTGTCATGTCCTCTTGTTTGCTGTGTGACCTTCTGTCATGTCACTCTGTTCTCTGGGCCTCAGTTTCTCATCTAAAATTGGAATGATGGTAGCATCTGCCTATCCTATTCCCTTAAAGAAACAGAGCACACTCCCACCTCAGGGCCTTTGTTCTTGCTGGTCTCTGGTCTCTCACATGTTGTCCTACATTACTCCTACACTTCATCTGGTTATTACTCAAAAGCCACCTTCTCATCCTAACTACCATCTCCCTGACCATCCTAACTACAATCGCATAGCATACACATATACATGCACACTCACACACACCCTCACTTCCTTCCCTCCTGTATTTTTTTCATCCTTAGCAGAAAACATAATAGAACATATATATTTTATTTATTTATCTTGTTCATTGATTTCTCCCATTAAAATGTTAGCCCTGTGAG